AATATTATACAGATACAATAAATCGCTCCTAGAAATATCGATAAAAAAAAAGCTATTGTATCAAGACAAAGTCCTAATAAAATGAGGAAGAAGAAATACATACAATGTATATTATATTAATGTATATATATATATATATGTAATATTATAGCATATTAAAATATATGTGTGATAAGATAATATATTTTTTGGACGTGATTAATATTATATGGTATATTAAAATTAATGATCATACTATCATACATATATATATATATTTGTTTGTTTCAGAACGCAAATTGTTCGTTGGCATGCTATCGAAAAAGTATACGGAAAATGATGTTAGAACAATGTTTAGCGTTTACGGAACGATCGAGGAGTGTTCGGTGTTACGAGACAATTCCGGACAAAGTAAAGGCTGTGCCTTCGTTACTTTCGCTAGTAAACAATACGCTATCAACGCCATTAAGGCCCTTCATCATTCGCAAACGATGGAGGTAAGTGAACAAGTGGTTGTTCTTCTTCTTCTACTTCTTTAACTTCTCCTCCCTGTTGATCATATTTTTTCTCCCCCATCCCCCTTCCCCCACACTCGTTTGACGTTTTTCAAAGAATTAACGAGAACAAAATCCGTGCGTGGTAATAACAAAGCTAACTTTCTATCAATCTATCAACCTAAACTGCTACTTTATTTCCTTTCTACGTCATATTTCAAGCACCAAAATAATTATAAACTGTTTCGGTTGAAAAAAAAAAAAAAACCAAAAAGAGAAGGATATTTATTATACCAGATAAACGACACTAACGTTTAAATATTCCAATTTTTATGACTACCCTCTGACTTCCCTCACCCTTTCCAGTTATGAGATGGTAATTCTTTAACGAATCAACAAATTCGAGAAGATCCATTTCTACGAGCTTAAAACAAATTTAATCTATACAATTAATATTGAAAGAAAAAAATCAATATAACTTTGGAATGAAAGATTGTAAAGAGGTGGGAGGTCGGGAGGGTGTAAAGGTGCCATAAAAGTTACGTAGATAACTTATGTTAGTATGAAATTGGTATGAGACTCTAATACTCTTAGCAGTTAGTTTCTTTATATTTTTTTTCACAACGATTCGGCAAGCTTGACGGACATTGGCTCGATGCCATTATCATTCGGAGGAACGTCCTCGCATAGTCAGCTCACAAACTACCTCTCAACCATCTAGTAGTCACCTCATCCTCCTCCTCTTCCTCCACAGAGAGTGATATACCGATTTAACTTTCTCTCTCTCTCTCTCTCTCTTGGGGTAACCAAAACCGAGCTAAGGAAAAAAAAATAGTTGGAAAAATCTTCTTCGAAGTAGCCGACCGACACCTTTGCGATTCTAAACTCGCGCGGTGCAGTGCAGTGCAGTGCAGTGCACTGCACTGCACTGTCCTCATCTGACTTTTCCGGCTTTTATTTTCTCTTTGTTCCCTAGTGTCTAGTCTTCTTCTTCTTCTTCTTCTTCTTTACCGAGCCTTCTACGACTAGATTGGATTGATTACACGAGTGTCCTACGTCATTCGATAGTCTCGTTCATTACTTTTCAACATTTCACCTCTAGACAGGTATAAAAGATTATGCCAACTCTACGTGTTAATTCGTGTTATTTTGTACAAAGTATACTTCTTTGTTTTTTTTTTTTTTTATTTGACCGATCTATTTATTCAATTATATTATAGGTGTTAAGTGGTATCGATAAAGAAAGAGAGAGAGAAAATAAAAGGATTATTCTTTTACAAGATCTCTCCTTGTAGTGTAATATAAACGTTACATTGTTGTTAACTTCGGTCTGTTAAAAAAAAAAAAAAAATAGGTCGTTTCTTTTCTTTTTTGTTTTTAACGAAGTATTTGCTATAGGAAACGTCATTAGTATTCCATATCGAGGAAAAGGGAATAGTAAAAGAACGTTGTCTCGGAAAACTTTAATGAAACCACATGCATATATGTAATACCTATATATCCACAATTTATACGAGATTTTTCTTCGTACTACGTACACGTAAGTGACGACCTCGATGTTGAATTAATTAATAGATTCGGATGTTATTTGAATTTTGTATAAATAACATTTTCTTTTACGGGACCACAATAAAAATCAAATATGTTTTTGGGAATGTTATTTTGTAATGATAAAATTTAACAGGGAACTTGGACATGAAAAGAAGTAGAACTTAGTTTGATTGAGTTGGACGTTTCGTCCCTTTATTGGGACTTCTTCAGCAACTTAATCTTTAAAGTTCAGCGTGTTTTTTCTTTAATTCGACATACATTTTTCTTTTTGTTAATATTCCAAACACAACACATTTAAACTTCGTTAATTCGATTATTATTATTTAAAGTCCTCAACAAATTTTGTAATTTCTCTCTTTTCCTAAATCGAGAATACCCTATCTACTTTGTTCTTTTTTTTTATTTTTTCTTTCGGTTACAAATGCATCCTAATAAACATTTGATTTATTATTTAACGTAGTTTCAGTTTATTACCACCGGTAAGATCGTTAAAGTGAACGAATAATGTTGGATATTTAAAAGAATTGGCTGGCTCAGCAATGTTATGCGAATAACAAGAAAATGCATTCCCCCACACTAGATCGAAATTGTTTCGTTAGCCATAGTCTATGCTCTATGCTATGATACTACTACCGTTACGCCTATGTCACGTGCTATTTCGAATAGTAAAAGTTAACCGTGCCAAGGCATGCTCTACCACTAGACAACGACAATTCCATTTTAATATCATGAATATTTCCAGATCCGAATTCTTAGAACTTTTCGCCTTAACCTTCTTTTTATTCTTCCCAATCCCCTGCCCCCTGCCAACTCCCCCCCCTCCTACTTACTCCTTTCATTGATCATTCTCGAATCAACAAAAATGTAATTTAATTTTCTCGAAACAAAACAGAAAATGGACTTACACTACTTTTAAAACAAATAACCGGACCAAATAATGATTTTCATATGAATTTTGTATTATCTCATAAAAAAACCGGTACCACACCAAAACCACTACCACCACCATCCTTTTTCTTTTCTTCTATCTGAAATAAACAAAGTTTTCTACTACGTTATCCGTGTTACAACATTTTCAAACATGCTAGTTAACTTTCTTTGACGTCTTTTTTTTTTTTCTTCTCTCTTTTCTCTCTCTCTTCTTCAGGGATGCTCATCGCCACTGGTTGTGAAATTCGCTGACACGCAAAAGGAAAAGGATCAAAAAAGAATGCAACAAATTCAAGCGAATCTCTGGAATATCGCGGGAGTCAACATGACGCCGCATTACCTGACGACGGTCCGTATATCTTTAATATTTAACACGATGTACCCTTTTTACTACGAATCAACGATTCCATTTGCATCGAGAAACGAAATAACTTTTCCATAAATTCGCGATAGCCGAACTTAAAAAACATTTCATAAAGTTTCGCGAGAGAGAGAGAGCAGACTTCTTTTATTTCTTTTTTCTCTCTCTCTCTCTCTCTCTCTTACTTTTTCATCTTACGTGTGTAACATCAACAATCTGTATTAGATGCATCTGCATTTGCACATCATACATATGCATCTAATGCAGATTGTGAACAACAAAATTGTAACTCGCTAAAAAAAAAATCAAACAAAAAGAAATAATTGATTTAACCATGATCCTTGGATCGATCTATCGTACGATTATTTATGATTATACTAATCCGAAAAGAAAAAAAAGAAAAAAAATAAAGTAGGAAGAAAAACAAGAGATACTACTCGGATAAATTATAAAACGATCTTAAAATAAACATATTTCTTTTACTCGTCGGGTTTTGTTTTTCCAGAGCGACGCGCATACGTTAGCACCTACGTCGTTGCAATTATTGCAACAATTGCAGGCGACAACGAGTGCGGCTACCCCGGTAGCTGCAGGTGCAGGAGCTAACGCTCTCTCGAGTGTTCAGCATCAGCTGTTATTGCAGCAACACCTTGGCCTCGGTGCCGCCACCCCCGCACACGCGGCCCCACCTGCCGTACCAAGTCCACCTGAAATTAGTCCTGCCAATCTCCAGGGTCTGGCAACTTTGGCGTCCCTCGGTAACTCCGCTGGTGAGTACGGTCAGTGTCCACAATCATCACTTTTTATTTGATTAATAATTTGATTAATTTGATTATTTTTCCCTATCATATTTGGCACGATCCAAAATTTTCCAAATTTTATCTCTGTCTCTTATTATCTCATATATTATTTTCTCTTTCATATAATAACCCTCTTAACCTTTTAGATACGGTTTAATTTTGCGTGTGGCTATTTCTCTGGACGCCAGGGTTTGACGTGAACAACGGTATAATTGATATAAACACTGCAAAGTGTGGCGGGCAATTTCGTTCTGTGCATGTGAACACTCAAATGAAGTATTTGATGATTAAGTCATAATTTTTTAAAAATATATATTACACATACTTTAACTATAACATTCCACTTTAATAACTAATAATATAATTGAGTATGATAGATTTTGAAATATGGTACAATACATAAACCTACGTCAAAATTTTCACATTGATAACGAGATCTTCGCCTTGTATCGTTTTTGGAACACACTATACAATTTCATAACGTTTTTTTAGAAAACAACGAAAAGCCACTATAGTGGCGCGTCGTTCAGAGAGATGACATACACGAAAGCCACTATAGCGGCGCGTCGTCCTGAAAAATTATATCCGCGAAAGCCACTATAGTGGCGCGTAGTATCTAAAAGGTTCAAATTCGAATTTTATTACCATTCATCGTAGATATTTCAAATGTCATCATATGACAACGGTATGCAAAAAATCCAAATGTGGTACTACCTGTCTCTTTGTAATAATAAGATTCAACATATTTTCATAGTCTTGGGAATCATGCCGTAGTCTTATTCAACTTGATACGCCACTTAAATGTAATTATTAAATGTAATTATTAAAAGTAGTTTGATATAGGTAACGTGTTTACCGTGCATCACGATTATTCCTACTACTACTGCTGTTGTTAAAGAAAAAAAAAAAAAAAGAAAAAAGCTGATGGTCATTCGATGACGTATTCGTTTAGAAACGTGGAAAAAAACGTTCCTCTGTTAGTTACGAAACACAAAACCTTTTGACATTGTACTTACTTACTTACTTACTTACTTACTTAACGTACACGTGCACTTATACACCGGTTATCGTATCTCTTTTTTTCCTCGTCGTTTACCTAACACACTTTTTTCCCCAATTAATTGTTCTTTTCTTTCTTTTGTTTCTTTTGTTTCTAATTACGATTTATCCTTTTTTTCCGGATAACATTTTTTACACGTTTTTTCTTTTTTTCTTTTTCTTTTCCTTCTTTATTTCGTCGGAAAAATTTAACCACGAATTTTTATACGAAATTTCAGCAAACGCCGGGGTCTCACCGATGAGTATGCAAAATCTTGTCACTTTGGCAGCCATGACTGGCGGAAACGGCAACCTTCAAGTGTCGCCAACGAGTAAGTATACCGTATATTATTACGCAAGATAGCGTGTGCTTTATTAAAGAATTTTTATTACCCGTTAGAAAGAGAGAAAGAGATAAAAAAGAAGTTGTTGTGTTGGATAATGTCATCCATTGTAATTTGTTTCTTTCGTGCAAAGCCGATGATGACTGTATGTATTCATCTTTAACTCAAAAGATAAAAGAAATAAAATACGTAATAATAATGAGAAACTTGATAAAAATATGAGACGAATAAAAAACAAAAAAAAAAGAACAAAAAATAAAAGGAGAATACATGCCGTCAAATTGGCGGTGTGGTAGGCAGGAGGAGGAGGAGGGGGGGGTTTGTTTGCAACATTATTATGCTTCTTTTACAAATGATTTAACACATTTTGTCGCGAGATTGCAAGAGTAAAGAAAATGAAAATAAATTAGATGAAGAAAGAAAAGTCGCTTAAACCATCGTTTAAATCGTTAATCATTCGCATGTGCATTAATTATAATAATAATTCCAGAAGAGAATAGGTGAAAACTGTTTAAGCTTTAATAGGTATGCATGGAAACTCAAATTTCAAAATGCCCGGAGTGTGAGCGAACAGCAAATACCTTTGTAACGTTTATATGTATTAACGTTATACTTTAACCCCTTCTCCCCCTGCTCCCCCTTCCCCCCGCTCCTCCCCCCTGTCCTCACGTATTCGCTTATTGTATACTCTAGTAGTTAACGTATCTGAATTTGGTGTGCATAGCAATATGTACATATAAATGTATACACGTACCAATGTAAATTAGCATAAAATCGATGAAACCATTGATTGATCGGTGGTGTTCGATGTTGTAAAAAAAAAAAAAAAAGAAGGAAAAAAAAAGAAAAAAAAAAAAGGATCCAATCGATCTTTCTCAAACTTAAACAAGATCGAAATTTTCCAAATAATAATAATAATATTCTCGGATAAATTTTGTTTCCCTATCGTAACTAACGTCGTCGCTTTGCTAATATCGTGAACGTGTTCTGTGTTTCAGCGTTAAGCGGACTGGCGAATTCGACAGCAGGTATGTCGTTATGTACGTGTCCCATTGGCTGGTACAGTATTAACAATTACTAAATTAATTTCGATCATACCAAGGACTCGCCCCCCTCGCCACCCCAACCCCTTAACTCGAACAGCGGTCTGATTTGCCCATTTCGCTTATTTAATAGTACATACATATCTATACACACACGTATATATAATATATATAGAAACATACTACCAACACCATCAACACCAACACCATCACCACCATCACCAACACTTCCCGAATCTAGTATTTCATCTTTGTTCACGTTTCAATTTCCACGTTGAACTATCTCGTGAATGCGTTGAATATGGGCGTTACGTGAATATACGTCGATTATTATTATTATTATTATTATTATTATTATTATTATTATTACGACTATACTAGGGGATGCCAAAAACGAATATTTCAATCTAATCGTATTTAATGGAAGAAATTGAATTTTCCTAAATTCATGAAATTATCGATAGCAATGACAGGTGGGTGGTGTGCGTTTATAGACTACCGAGAAACCGCGTGAACGATTACTGTCGAATTGCTGACCGTGTTACCATATTCACATTATGACCTCACAATCATCATTGACCTAATAATTCATACAATATGAATAGCGTCATTATTTTACTTTCTTTTACAAAAGATTGATTTTGATTTTTTTTTTATGTAGTATTACGTGGAGGCCAAAAATTCAATCCTATTCTTTTATTTTTTTTTTTTCTTTTTAATATAATATACATAAATATATTATACACACGTACACGTATTACACACGAAATAATTCTAATCTATCAATTGAAATATATAAAGAATTCCTGAAAGTATTTTAACGATAGACAACTTTTTTTTTCGTGCTTAGCTGCCCTTCTCGGGAAGACAGGAAGTACAGGTGAGAATTAATTAAACGAAAAACGATATTCTCTCATTCGTTGTTCGTCTATATCTATTTCTTCGTTGGTTTGCTCGAATAATCCTTCTTCTTTTCCTTCATATAATGCATATTTGCTCGTATTATTACAATACTTCTTAATTTATCCTGTATACTACTATAGAAACCCATTTTGTCCTAGATTTTTAACCCGTTCTGCTGTTCTATTTTATTTGTGTGCAAATTTATATAATTCTTACCCCCTTACCCCCCCCCTCACCCGCCCGCACTTATCGCTTTTATTTTCTCGTCGACGACAGTGGGTGTATATTAATGGCATATTATTTACGAATATAAAAAAAAAAAAAAAAAAAAAAAAAAAAAAAAAAAAAAAGGAAGAGAAGAAAAAACCAAATTCATCTTTTGGCCTAAAAGTGAACGTTCAAATAAACAATCATACGAATTTGTGTAATTTTGAAACAAAGTTTTCCAATAACCTGCAATATACCATCATAATATATCACCTATATTTTCAAATTGTAATAACAACTTATTAATCCGAAGGATATTTTATATATAAAAATATATATATGATGTTCTATATATATAATACATACAAACGCACACATATATATATGATTACATGGTAAATATTTATTCGAAATGTACAGTCATGAACGTATTTAACTTGTACAAGCTTATTGCAATTAACGAATGCTCAACGTACATCGAATTAATAACCCATATTTTTTTTCTATGTGTAAAAAAAGAAAAAAACCATAGACCAATAGTAATCAAAGTAGAAATAGAATGTCGTATGTGTATCATATTTTACGACTAATCCGATATATGTATATAATAGAGTGTCCCATGAGTATTCGTACTCAGACTGTCAATTTAAAACAATTGATATTTGCTTTTGCATTGTAATGTTTATCAATTCAATTTGAAAAAGTTGAATAATCCTAAAATATTATTCAATAATATGTAGAAGAAATTTTTCAAACTACGCGTATTACAATCGAATATCAATATTATTTTATATATTTATTATTATTATTATACTTTAATGTAATATA